CACGGCCACACAGCCCGGAAGACCCACACCAGCCATCGTATGCCGGCCGTGAAAGCCTTCGACAGTTCATTGAAAGAGTTCTTGATACCCAGCTTAGGAGCAGGCCGAAGTAGCCATGAAGGCCGTGGGGGTGACGCAAATCGCAAAAGCAGCATGGTGCCGCTGTGAGAGAAGGTCCAACCCATTTAGAGATGCGTCGTGGCGTTGCGCACACATAAAAAAGCCGGGCTTTCTGATGGCGCAATGCTGTTTCCATCATGTTGATGGAAGTTTCCCATTCTGGAAAGCGAGGAGGGAGTTGGGAGTGGGGGCGAAGGATTGGAGGCAGGCTGCAAATCTCATGGGTTTGCCCAGCTGAGACTTCATTGATAGACTTCTGGGCAACCTCAGCAGCCAAGTCTTTGCTCATAACATTTCTTACGTAAAAGATACTCCACTGCGCCGATGGGAGTGTTGTATCCTGTAGTTCTCGGTAGGCAGAACTGTCTGATGTACACATCCTGTCTGAGTAATTCTGTTTCACCCGATGGGGTGAGACAGTCTTTCCTGAGCCTGTGGGAAGAGAGTTCGATGGGGCCGCAAGTCAGATTTCGTCCTTTTTCCTGTGCTTAGCGCCCATCTGTGTTGTAACTTCGGTTTCAAGAGGATGTGAAATCTTTCGCCAGATCTGGGGAAGTAAATGCTGCATGACTGGGACATCCAAGCCTTGTGTTGAAGTCTTCCTGTTCACCATTTTGATCATTTGAGCATCGGTTTTACTCGGAAGTCGGTGCTAGGGAGCTCAGGGAGACTTGGACCCTGAGATTCCAACCCCCTTTTTCAAAAATGAGTGGAAAAATTTCTCTTCGAAATATTGCTGACTTGGGTTTTCAAGCGACAGTCAAAATCTTGGGAATCTGCAGCTCACGGTCGAGAGGACATGTTCAGATTTGTTCACGTGTCCTTCCTAAGGTGTAAGCAGTCCAGAGTCATTTGGGAGTTAGGTGGCCTATAAATTAATTAAATAAATACATAAATAAATGCCGGCCCTTTGCGGAACTAACATTCCTAACTTAGCAAATTGCTTTGTTCCTTTTCTTGTTTTCATTCCAGCTTCAGTCATGATCTGATTCCTATTTTGAACCAGGGTCTTAAACCACAGCTTGATTCTGGCTTGGGGATCCTGCTTAGTAAGCCAACATTCAACTGCCCTTCTCAGTTTAGACTGTAAACCAGCGTTCCTCAACCTTGGCAACTTTAAGATGTGTGGACTTCAACCCCCAGGCTGGCTGGGGAATTCTGGG